GCTTCATTCTCAGTAAGACATACAGGTAAAACTTCCAAAAAGTGAAAGCCTATAAAGTACAAATCATAGCAGCGCTCGTTAATGGGCTCTGTACCACATAAGAGTAAGGAATTTTTTCACTTGTATTGCAGAAAAACTTCCTGTAGTAGAGCATTTAGAAAGAACTTAATTCACTGGAAGCTAGGGAGCAGGGTACCCCCAGAAAGCTGCACACTTTCTTGGGAGCACATTGAAGGAAGATGCTGGCTATTCCCATGTGAGTATGGACAATTCCAACTACACAAAATGGATAAAAATTTTTCACCCCCTCACCTTTCTTTCTTTTTTTGCTGACAGTCAATATTAACACTAAAGTAGCTCAGCCACTATGAAGTCTAAAAGGGAACTAGAATAGTGTGTATGTATAACAGGAAAAATAAGCACATATATATTTTATCTGACCTTCATTCAAGCCTGAATTCCCAGCTTCTCCACATCTGTACCAACAGAAGAGGGGCACCTGACCCACATTTGCAACAGACACTGCAAAAGGAGATGAGCCTGAGGCCAGCCTGTGCCTTTTTTCCCAGGGACCAATTATCTTTTCCCAGTACCAGCCTCACTCTGTGTTTACACACGGGTTTAGGGATCCTGCGTTTTTCTGAGTAAAAAATTCTTCTCTAAATTCTTAGCAACTAAATTTGGGTCAGAACACAAAATTGGGAGCCAAAGTAGTTGAAGAAAATAAAAGTAAAGCAAAGGAATGTATTACACTGTAGGTTATTTTTTTAAGTCAAATTACCCATAAAACTGAAAGAGTACATGCATACTGACTATAATTTTAGATTGGGGAAAGGGGACTTAGAACATATGGAAAGAAAGAAAAACTATTTCATAAAGAAGGCATTTATCTCTACTTTAGTAAGCTGAAGAAGCATATAACCTACACACTGTTAATAATTTTGGAATCCTGTGAATTACACACTTTGGGAAGTGATGGATAGAGAAGAGAACTTTAGCAACAGTGATTAACAGAAGAGATGGAATTTCCAAGTACTAATCTGTTCTTTATGGAATCCCTGTACTAGTGTCTTCAGGAAGGAGAAAAAATAAATAGCAGAGCAAATTTCGTAGGATTTCTAAAGCTAAATATATCATAAATATGGATCACTAACTTTTACACAGGCAATGGCAACTTAAAATTTTGGGAAAGAAATATTATTCAATAATATCTTACATTTTCTAGTATCTTTTGTTTGCTGGACAAAAAGTAGTTCCATTCACATGTTATTAGGCTTATCAGGGCAAATAATGCTAGGCTATTCTTAAGTATCTTAAGATTTATCACCAGACATGCCTGAGTTAAAAATCTGGAACAAGGGGCACCTGGGTGGCTCAGTGGGTTAAAGCCTCTGCCTTCGGCTCAGGTCGTGATCTCAGGGTCCTGGGATCGAGCCCCACGTCGGGCTCTCTGCTCAGCAGGGAGCCTGCTTCCTCCCCTCTCTCTGCCTGCCTCTCTGCCTACTTGTGATCTCTGTCAATTAAATAAATAAAATCTTTAAAAAAAAAAAATCTGGAACAAAATGAAAGGCACAGAAAAGCATCAGTGAACATCATTTCTAGGCCTGCCTCTGTCCCTGAGTAACTGATTCCAGCCATGTTACTTTAATGATGTGATACATCAGTATTTCTAAAATGAAGCAGTCAAATTATGTAAGTTCAAGTTCTAAAGCCTGTTCTAATTTCTAGCTCTTATTTTCATTTTTTTTTTGAAAATACACAAGACTGTTTCTTAAAGATAAGGGTCTAAGGGAAAAAAAAAAGTCAATATAAAAACTTCCCTACTTCACCTTTGTTTAGGATAAAATACAAAGAGAAGAATAAATAACACCTGTTATTTATGTTAGTGTAAAGAAAAAATAGAGATGAGAACACACTCTCCTTTTGCTTAATTAACCAGAGTTCCTATTAACCAGATTTCTGCAATCCTTCCCACAATCATTTCTTAAATCCAAATTAATTTGGTTCTACACTATGCTCCTTTCTACCTGTTTCATTTCTAAGTTTATCATGATGACAAACATGTCTTCTGAGTTAATGTGTTAACATTGTCTGAAAAAAAGGGAATAAATTTTCATTTATTAGCTATCAGAGCTGAGCAAGTTACTCTCAGCTTCCATGTCTGAACCCATAAAGATAAACAATAATCTCTTTCAAGATTATCGAAAAGATCAAATACATGACGGCATGATAACAAGCACAGAAAAGTATATTTAATAAGCATTTTAAGTAGTTTTAGGATTAAGTAGTTTAAAGGTTCAACATCTAGCCATAAAATTTGCTTACACAACTCATCCCCTAGTTAACAGTATATTCACACCAACTAATGCAAGTAGAATGTTTAATTAATACAATTGTTAAGTATTATTTTAGAAATGCAATTCGATAAACACATATTGAGTATTTATATGTGCAGGTAGAATAATGCTAAAACTCTAGAATTTCATGATTACGACAATGACCCCCCCCAAACGCTCAGTCTGGAAGAGACAAATAAAAATTATAATTGGGACAATATAATAATAAAAGCACGTACATGGAGCGGAAGCAGCAGGGTGAGGTAAGTAACTCATTCTGCCGAAAGAAAGAGGAGGAGCGGAAGCAGGTGGCAAAGGGGAAAGAGTACATTTGCAGGCAAAGACAGGGGTTGCAAGTCCTGCTCGGCCACTCACTGGTGATATGATTTGGGGCAACTTCGCCTCTCTTCTCTGCAATTCTACTTTGGAAAGTTATTCTTAAGATCAGAAATAATATATGGAAAGTGTCTGCTACATAGCAGGCACTCACAAAGTAAGTGGCAGTTGAGTCTTGTCTTAGGACGTGTGTGTTTGTTTTGAATACACCAAATCCTAAATGGCACTATGGCGAGCATCTCTTGACTACTGACCAAGCTACGTATGGGATTACTAAGGTCACCAGCAGGAGAGGGCCACAGTGAATCACATCATGTCAAATGTTACCACTTCCAGAATCCACATTTTTTTAGAAATGGATTCCTAACATGTGGTCCACTCACCTGCTGGTGAAGCGTATTTCTGACCTACATATTCCTCTGTTTCTACCGAGACAAACAGCATTTTGCATAGTCAGGCTCGATATTTCCTAGAAGCGGTCCCCATGTTCCTCAGTCCCACCCAAGGAACTAGTTTTGGACTTTACGAAATGGCGAAGTCTGATGAGCAACTGACGATTATTAAGATTATATTAAGCGATAATGAGAGCTAACCCTGGGTTGAAACTATTATCAACCTACTGGTTGACTCATAGAACTGGAAGCCACTATAATGATTGGAATCCTAAAGTCAGTATTTTAGAAATACTGTTAAATCTAACCAAGTGGTAAGTTACATTTACACTACTCTATAGCTCCCCAAACTAATTATCTCTAAATAAATGATGAGCTAAGCCAGTCCTTACCAAATACAAACATATATTTAAGTTCTTACTTTTCACTTCAATCCTACAAACACTATTGATACAACATTTGAAATATGAACAGTAGATAAATAGAAGCAAAGCCAGAAGTAAGATAACGTAGGCTATCTCCAAGTTCAACTGAATCATGAAATGGTCTTCCTGTCAGTGTATTTTTTTTAGAAATAAAAATATGTTCCTGACCCTCAACCATCATGTAAGGTCAGTTTGTATCAAGTTAAATAACCACAGATTAAAAGGGAAGACACCATGAATCAATTGAGAATCTATGTTAATTTTATAGTTGCCGCATTCAAGAAAACCAGTGTCTTTAAATTCATTCTATGGTATAAAATTCTATAAAATTGTTCTCTACAGATATCTGAATTCCATATCATGCCAGATTTTATAATAAATATATACATATGTTACTATATTATAAGTGATACTCTATATTTATCATGTATATAATACACATGTGTATATAATGTCAGGACAGGTTATATTTGTAAAATACTCCTCACACTTAACAAGTTTGACATATTGTATTTTAAATGTTCCTACCAAATTTAGCTTTATACATTTGCAAGAATTAAATCCTGAGTATGTTTTTAAGTTTTTTCCCTGGGAAGCAGAGACTGAGGAGACACCACATTGCAAGTGAATCTCTTTCCTCTAACCACTAATCTTAAAGAGTATTTTTTAAATTCAGAAATCAGAGTGTAAGAATTTCCACGTTAACGCAGAAGTTTCTTCACAAACCAAACCTACAAATTCGATAAAAATGAGTATTACTGCTCACTTTTACAACCAAAATTGAGGTTAATTATTATAATGTAGTTAAGTCCAATTCCCTCTTGACAGCCTTGACGAATGAAGGGAAATGCAAAAAAAAAAAAAAAAAAAAAAAAAAATCAAATGTCACAGAAGCGGCAGCTTGAGGCCAGAGAGAGACAAGAGGGAGAAAATGGTTAAGCTGAAATGCTTAAAATGCACTAGATCTTGGCCCAAGCCCCTGACCCCCTATAACCTACTTCATCAGTCATCTAGGGCAACAATTTAACAGGTGAAGCAAACTGATCATGGTAAACAGAGAATTTAAGTCCTGCATCCGGTTTGAGATTTTCCAGAAAGAAGAGGATTTTAGCAGCAAGAAGCGGGGTGTGTATGCGCGCTTGCGGGGCCGGGGGTGTGGGGGAAACCAACGCTAACTGTGCCCGAGTCTCAGCACTAACGCTGTTCCGCGCGTACTACACAAGGCAGCACCGTCGGCGGCCCTCCCCGCGCCGGGCAGGAGGAGGGGGTCGTGGATTCTCCGCCCGCGATCAGGCCCCTCGGAGCGCCCTGGGAGTGGGTCGAGCGTCTGGCCCCGGGGACCCGCGTGGAGTGCCCCCAGTTAACACCTTCCTGGCCAGGACCTGGGACCGCCTGCCAGCCCTCCGGCGCGCACGGGGGTGGGGCGGCAGGAGCGCGGCCCCTCCTCGGGAGGGAGAAGGGAGGCAGGGGGCGGCACCGCATCCCGTCCCCACCCCGGGCGCATCAATTACCCGTGAGGTTCCTCAGCACCGTCCCGTGGGCCCAGAGGCTCAGGACCTGCTGCACCGACAGGTTGATCATGGAGTGGTCGCCCCCCTCCGCCTTCATCTTCCCCGGGGGGCGCCCGCCGCCCTCTCCTCGGGCGCCGGGTGGCGGCGGCGGCTGCGAGGCTCCGGGGGCGGCGGCGGGTGCAGGGCTCCTCCAGGACGCCGCCGCCGCCGGGGAAGGCTGCGGGGCGCCGGGCCGGGCGCTGCTGCTGCCGCCGACGGGCCTCCGGGGGGGGGCAGCTCAGCGCGTCTCCCAGGCAGCCCCCTCCCCGCCGGGGAGACATTGAGGACGGCGGACGGGGGAGGGGAGGGGGCCGGGCGCTCTCCCCGCGCGGCCCCCGAGCGAGGACTCGGGGCGGAAGAGGCCGCTGCCGCTCCCTCTCAGGGGCAGCCCAGCGCCGCGGGGGCCGGGCACGCGAGGAGGCCGAGGTCACGCAGGGAGGCCCGGGGTGATGGGCAGACGGCAGGTGCAGCCCCCGACGGGGCCCAGCTCATCACCGCCGGAGGACGAGGAGACCCGGGACCCGGAGGAGGCTGCGGCGGCGGCCGCAGCGGCACCTGCCGCCAGCCTGCCCACCCTCCGGCCGCGGACACTCGAGGAACCGCCCCCTCCACCCGCGGCCGCCGGCGGGCCGCTCGTGCGCGCGCGCACAGGTCCCCACCTCCCCCGCCGTCCCCGGAACCGCTGCGCATGCTCACTCTCCCCCCTCCCCTCGACCCGCCGCCCTCCGACTGCCGGCCGGCCCCCAAAGCCCTCCTCCTCCCCCTCCCCGCGCGCGCGAGCTCGGGTGGCTGACGGCGCCGAGCGTCGGCCCGCAGTGGGGCGGAGGGAAGCGCGGCCTACGTCACTAGCGCCACCGCCCGGCCCCGCCGCTGATTGGGTGCTCCGAGGGACCCACCTCCACTCCCTCCCCGCCCCCAGACCCCGGGCGCGCGCCTGGTGTGAGCTAGAGTCTTGCCCCGGGGCGGAGCTGGGGGCGGAGATGCTGAACCCGGAGCGTGAGGGGCAGCCCTGACCCACCTTGTGGGGAGCCGGGGTGCTCAAGCGCGTGTGATGGGTTCTGTGGCATTACAGCTCTTTGGCCTCAAAATGCTTTTAATAAAGATGTTTGCGTGCAAGTTGGGTTTTTTTTTTTTTTTCTTTTAAGGGTGTAAATATCTCAACGTTTTAGATGTATTAAAATTTGCGGTGTTTTTTGTTTTTTGGTTTTTGTTTTTCAAGTAAGCCAGCTGATCTGGCTAGGTCACAACCTGCAGAATATATTTCTAAGCCTCTAAAACAGAAATAGACCCGCTGTATCATTCATCCAGTCCTTCCCGCTTCAAGAATTTGGGCCTCCCGTGGCGCTAGCATTTGAAGTCACCTCTGGACCCAGGGATCCGGAGGTGTCCTACTCCTGAATGCCGTCCTCTAGTCTCGCTCTCTTTTCGTTGCAATATTCTTTTTATCTAAATTGTCAGAGCCTCCGTTGTTTTTTTCCCCCTACGACTGAAACCATACTCTCTTCCCATGGCTTGCTGCCTTTCTCTGTGTCCAACCTCACCCCGAGGAGCTGTCTGATTTACAACTACAGCAAATTCATTTATTAACTCCTCCTTGAAGGATGAAACCTTTTAATTTGAAAAATAAAAGCTAAATTTTGACGATAACATAAATATACACTAGGCAGCCCCCTCCTCCTCTCCAGCCTTTTTCAACTGCTCTGCTTTCTGGAAAAGAAAATCGACAAAGAGAAATAAAGAAGTTCATGTGTTAGCTAAATCACCAAGTATATTTGGCCAAAGCACAGAGGGATTGAAACACCTATAAGACAGTGGTCTTGGTGACCACTTTAAAAATAATTTTATAGGTATGTAATTGTCTGTTGTGTATATATATGTATTATCTGTTTGATATTACAACACAGGAAAGGGAAATTTTTGCGTTATTAATAGGAATTGAGCCAAAACTCACAATGTACAGTTTATCTTCTTCCTATCATTTAGAAGTATTACATCTTAATTAATTTAAGATTATACACTACCAGACTTAAAAGAGGCTTTCATAATTTTCTAATGCATTTTATTTTACAGGTAGAAAACTAATCCTGCAGAATTAAGTGATTGAACAGAGGTGACACCGCTCGAAAGTCCAGTTTCTGAATTCCTCGTCTATGAATTCTTTCTTGCAAATGACACTATCTTTCTCACCTCAGTAATTAACTCCATAATTTAAGGTTCTGAATGGGGAAGTGCAGGTTACCTTATGGCAACATTAAGAGACTTGGTATTATTTGGTTAGTGGTATTAGAGAACATGAGCACATCCCATGATGAAGGGTTTATAGGAACAGCTGCATTAAACTCTCACATCAAGAACTTTTAGTCAGTTTACATAGAATCAATTGGGGTTCTTCTGATTACACACTATTTAAACATGGTAGCATATATTTAAAACATTCAGGAGTTGGGGCAGTGCCTAGCATGTGATATTCAATAAATATTAGCTGAATGAAAAATTGAATGAACTTCATAGAAGAGTTGGCATTTTGCTTGTTTTGCATATTTTTTTAAACTAAATCTAAACAATGTCAGGAAATGAGAAAGTAAAACACAGCAATGAAGCCTCAAGTTGATCTGCACTTCGATAACCTGACAATTTTCTCCCTCCTTTTCAGTTCACTTTAGTAAGTATTTATTCGGCTCCTACTATCCATAATGTTCTATGTGAGGCCTCATCTATAGGATTTGAAGATGAATAAGGTCCCTATTCTCTAGGCTAATGTATTGCATTTAATTTGTCTTTGCTTTGATAAGCTAATCATACCCACCATGTAGAACCCTATAGTCTTAAGAGAACTGAACATTTTCCCAATAGCCAGAGTAATGAAACTCCAAACTGAGTTAATGCAAAAAGAAGTCACATGCGTAACTTCTTTCCTTGCAGATTTTTGATACTGAATTAATGTAGCAATCAAGGAATGGCTTAGTCACACTGCAGAAGTCAGGGAATGCCTCAAATGAATCCTTGAGGTGTCTTTCAATCTTGTGCCCTTGTGCCCAATCTACAAACAGATCCTGGTTTATTTTTTGCTTGCGAGTGAAGGGACACCCCTAAGTCTTAGGCCTCTTATTAATCGTTCAGAGAGGGCCCGGAAGAAAGCTTTCAAAATCAACCAGAATGTAAAATGATATGATCCTTTGAGAAAAACATTGACAATTGAGAATTTTTTCCTTCACTTTATTATCTTCCTCTTTTGGTCTACAGTACTACAGCATAAGGTCACATTGTGTAGACAATCTAATTTCATCTTCTTGCACATCTTAGGGGTTCTAAACCCTGAGTGGTGGAATAGGTTCAGTAGATTGATTATCTGAAAAATATGGTTTGAATACTGCCTGCAACACTTACTAGCTTTAAAATAGGAATACTAATATTATCTCTCTCTCCAAATATTTGATGTCCTTTGAGAAATAGTAATAATGAACGCAACCTCCTTCCTTATGTCAGGCCTTGTGTAAAATACTAAAGATTTAATTTTCACAAGAATGAGTTAAAATTTCACACTTTTAAACTATTTTGTTTTCAAAATCCATACATAAAGCTGTCCAAATCTTCTTTGCACACACACAGACACACACACACAGAGTGAGATCATTGTTAGTTGTTTTCTGAAGAAAATAAAATTCAGTTGAAAGAATGACAGAAGTAAGAAGAAGAAAGAGTCGTATATAGATATGCTACGGCACCGAAATTTACATGTTGCAGTGTTTCTCAGAACACCTATTAAGTCAAGAGACATTTCTATCACAGTAAATCAGAGAAACAAGGTAAACAGTGTTTCCTTCTCTGAAAGCTGTAATTCTAAAAACAATGTTGCAAAATGACACTGTGGAAATTCACACCCTAAATATAGCCTAGCTACCACAATTAGAATCATTCCACTTTGCCCACCTTGGGAATTTAAAAAGTTGAAATTTCTGTGATGGGGAAATACAAAGGTATGCCCTATTTTATCTCCCCAATATGGCACACTTAGGATGCCAAGCTACCTTTATGGAGCTGCCCAGAAAAGGAAAAGTTTCTCCACATTGGCAGTGGGACATCCATCCATAGTCATCAAGAGTCAAGGCCATGTTTGAGATGGGAGGACAGATAGATAACTGCCAGTGCCTCCAGCTCCATTTTCCATCTCATTTTTGTGCCTTATCTCTACCTGTGTATTCAAACCACCTTATTTATCTTCCCAAGTCTTTTTTTTTTTAAGATTTTATTTATTTATTTGACAGACAGAGATCACAAGTAGGCAGAGAGGCAGGCAGAGAAAGAGAGGGGGAAGCAGGCTCCCCGCTGAGCAGAGAGCCTGACTCGCGGCTTGATCCCAGGACCCTGGGATCATGACCCGAGCCGAAGGCAGAGGCTTTAACCCACTGAGCCACCCAGGCGCCCCGAAATCATCCCAAGTCTTAAAAAGAGAGAATACATAATGAAATTTGGACTCTAAAAATTCATATATTGAAGGCTAAATGCGAGCATAAGAAGAAAAATATTGCTAAAATCACATGCACACAAAATCCTGCATTGGCAACATACAAGACTTAGTTTTCACCCTAAAACCAATGTTTACAAATTACCCTGCATCCACCCTGCTCATATTATAGATGGAAGGCCAAATATAAAACATAAAATAGTCTGTTGACTGAACACCTATAGTTTTGTAATACCTAATTCTCACTGCATTCAGTTCTTAAATTATTTCACTGTTGATCTAATCATCAGCAAACATTATATGCCAAGAACAAAATAGTGAAAGTCATATTTCACTGTATCTTAATTAATGTTTTTCTGATCTTGAGTGAAGTTACACATATGTATAGGAACATTTGGATTACCTTTTCTAGGGAATTTTACCCATTTTTTGTTGGGGTATTTTATCTTTTAAAAAATCTTTTAAAAATACCATGTAGGACCTTTTAGATATTTAACAACACACCATTTGTGACATGCATTGCATTTATCATTTCCATAACCTTTGTCCGTTGCCTTTTAATTTTAATAAAATTCTTTTGTTATACAGAATTT